CAGAGCAGCAGCATCCTCTTCCAGCTGTATGTATATCTTTATATTTTTTTTGAATCCATCCAGAGGAGCTGTCTTAACATTTTTGAAATGAAAACAAGTTCAAATGAGTCCAGTACAGATCCAGATTGAAATTCAATTAGATTCAGCTCATTCCATTTATAATTCAAAACAATCACAAACAGTATCTGTGGAAATCAGCATATTACAATTTATCTTCACTCTGTTACAGTTCTCCATCTTGAACAAGCACATGGGTGACAAACAGTGGAAATAAATACATTTGTTTTAACAGAAATAAACATCAGGACCTGGCTTATTTGACTCGGTTGGCTGGGATTTGAGAGGATAGGAAATGAAACAGACAAATGCAGAAGGACTGGTCCACGTGGAGTTTCTATAGGAAGACAATCAAAGAAAAACATGTTAATGACAACTAAAATTACATATACAAACTTTCACAAGGAGCCAATAAATATTTAAATATAGGATATGTTTCAGTAATTCTCATTTGATCCATAGCAGCAGCCTTATGGGTCAACTAGGAACCTCTTAGAAAGTTTATTTGCTATATTAGTGCACTCTAATTTAGAAATTATTTTAAGTAGTAAAAAAATTTTTAATTGAAAAAGTAGTGACGGTATTTGTGTATTGTTATTTTAGGTGGCCGCTCAGTCTGTTCACAACACACACAACTAAACAGATTTGTTAAACAGTCAGTTGTTGTTCTGCAAATATTGAGTAATGCTGGTTATGGTCTGTTTATCTTTGCTGCTGGGAATGGATGAAGCATCACCCCTATTTGATGGCTGACTCATGGACAACACGTGCCTTCCAGCCTCCAACATAACAGCACATCAAGTTGGTATGAAGCTGCAGTTTGGGCTCAGCTAATTCCTGGAACTGTTGTTTTACATTCTTTTACCAATATTCATAAAATGTTCCTTTTGCTGACGACAGGTATCAAACAGGCCTCGTGCTCAGTTAGTTACAAACAAAGACTCATGTGGTCTCTTCTGCAACTTTTAGAAGAATAAAAGCTTTTCTGCAGCACCCAGTCAATTACGAATGTTGAGAACCAGAAAGTTTTTATGCGATGTAAACTGCAAAAGGTCAATTTGACCTAGTTTCCCATTAAGCATGATAAATTTGTTGTTTTTCATTCCACCGGATCTTTTTTCATAAAGTCCATTTAGGCAAAACAAATCTTCTTGGCCTGTCATAACCTACTGTAGGTTCAATGTACAACAACAACAAAAAAAAAAACTTAGGGGGAATTAAAAAAGCTGACAACAATTAGCAGAGAAGAGTTCAGAGCTACAAGCAAAAGGTCATAGAGGTCACAGCAACATACACAAAGAACAAAAAATCATTTCATCAATGAAACCTTGTTATGAGCACGGGATTCATGAAGGGAGGAGCAGATGTGTGAAGTTCAGAGGGCTGTGATGACCTATCTGCAGATGCCCCCCAGGGCAGACAGAAAGAAAGGCCTCCTACAGATGTTAGGGGAAGCTGCCTCATTTATCATGGTGGTTTAGTTGGAATTTCTTTGAACTACTCTTAAATTTTGTGGGACATTCAGCTTGGGCAGAAATGGAGCAAATCTCCACAGATAGCTTGATAGCTAAACTCTAATAGTAGCTCTAATGGTAAATAGATAGCTGGTTTGATAAGTAAACAGCTTATTAGTTGGCTGGTTAGGTAGAAGGTTTTGACAGCTGTTAATAGGCCATCATCTCTGCACGTCTTACTGCCCAGCTCATAAATCTAACCCCTGAGGGAGCTTTTGACTTGTTATCGAGCAACTTTTGTTTAAAATCCCACTCCACACTTAGTTTAGCGCACAATTCTCACACAAACACATAAATTGGCATGCTGGAGTGTGAAGTTATGGTATGGTTGCATGGCCTCACGAAGAACTGCTTTTTCTCTGTGTTGCAGCGCTGGGATTTAAATCACCCCAGGCAAAAATGACAGGGCCGAAACATTAGCAAACAGCTTGCAGAATAACTGGCGCTAAAATAAATGATGAGAGTTTATTCTGCCTTTTGTTAACATTCCAGTTCAATGTAATGTAAAAGCATTCATATGACTCTGTTGGACCTGCTGGTACAGCTGAGTTTTATGCAGAGTGCTCGGTAGGGAGCAGGAAGAGAGGCCCTTATGAGTCCAGAGCCCCATCTCCTGAGCAGCACCGAGCACACAGCAGGCTTCAAGGGCAACTGTTTATTAGGGAGCCAAGTTTTAATAAGCCTGCAGACAGGCATGCTGCTAAACAACCTCAAGTGCCGGAGGAGGTGAGTTTACCCATCCTGCTGATCCTCAAGACTTTGCTTGGCATCATCCACATCAGATGACCCGACTGTCACCTATTTAACAATTACATCCTGCAGTAAAGTATTTTGAATGTATAAAATAAATCACAAAAGGCTTTTGTACTATAGACACTGGACTGAACCGACCCACGTAACAAAGAAATACAGTATTTGCATCACAGATGTAGCGTGTAAAAGCTAAACCATCAGCATTCTACACCACGTTTAATCCAAATAAATTACAGAGGTCAAACATCCTATAAAACAAGGGCTCTTCAAAAGGGAGCGTTGGGCGGTTAGTTCTAAGAACCAAATGTCAAAGTGCATGACACGGTTATTAAATAACCATGAATGCACAGAAGTATTATCAGGGATGCTTATTATCACTTTGTCATTTGTGTGTTTTGACTGCATTATAACTGACCCAAAGTAAACTCAAAGAGCTCCCCCTGCAAAATAAGCACCCAGCCTCCCTCCTTTATTTGGCACGGTTAAAGCCAATGTTTATCTAAGGAAGGCGTAAATTAATAAATGAATAATAAAAATGACAGCTGAGTAGA